AGCCTGCCTCCCCCCAGTGGTCTCTCGGCCCCCAGCCTGGCTAGATCTTATCTGTCCTGATCTTCCCTTCTCCACACAAAGCCAGCAAGTTAGCGCCAACGAGTATGAGGTTTCTTGCTGGTGATAAAATATTCTGAAGTTGCTTGTGGTGATGGCTGCAAACTCTGCAGATGCTAAAGAAAATCTTTGAATTGTACACTTAAAAGTCCATCAGATCATCCCTTCTCTGCTCAAAACCCTCCAATACTACCCTCTGGGATCTGACCTCACCTACACTGCCCCATCCTCCTTGCTGGCCTTCTTAATGTTTCCTAAGCAAGCTCCTATTCCAGAGCTCTGAACCTGCTGTGCCTTTGCCCAGAATGTTCTTCTCCCAATAGCTGTGTGTCTCGTTCCTCTCGTACTCTAGATTTCAGCTCCAGTGGCATCATTGTAAAGAGCTTCCTTGTGACCTTAAGTAAAACAGCATTCCACCCTGACACACGAGACCCACCGCTTACCCGCCCTACCGTCTTACACACCACTAAACTGTTCCTTTCCATACTTTTTATTTTCTCTCTATCCCCATCAGAACGAAAGCTCCTTTATTTTGTTCCCTACCACATCTTTACTTGGTACCTAGAACACAAAAGGCAGGCAACAGACATAGAGCAAATATTTGTTGAATGAATGAATAAATAACTGGTCCAATTGCAACCCATTCCTTTTTTTTTTAACTGTTTACCCATTCTTGACTCTAGCAATAGCACAACCGAAACATAAGTAGGTTTAACTATTACACACATACTTTAACATTGATATTAATAAAATTCATACCTTCAGAGAGTTAATACCATTCCTGATAAAAGAAAAGATCTGCCTTTCTTGGCATTTAGATTTGCTAAAAAATGATGACAACAACAAAAGAAATCTGAACATCTTGGAATAAGGAGGGTTGGGCAGAAATCTAAATGGCTAAATTGCAAATGCAGGTAAAAAAAAAAAAATCAATTCTAAGCTTCCTGATAGTGACAAACCACAGAGTATTTTAGAGCAGTGATTTTGCCATACTGACTTAGCATAAAGTGCAAGTGACCTTTCCTGTGAGGCCAAAATAGGAACTACTGCAGATTCAGGTCAATGAACAGAACTCACTGTAAGCAGGCTTTGGTGCCTCAAAAAGGATGAAACCCCATGTGCCTATAACATCCATTAGTGCAGTTAAAGATGAGACACAGCAGGGAGACTGTGTGTTTACCCATCACATTCTGATCAACTTGGGGTCAAGGGCTCTAACTCATGCATGTTTATACCCCCTACCCCAGAGTCTGCACTGGGCCAAATGTATACTCGCTGAATGAATAATTCCTAGTGATCAACGCCCCCAAATTATATATCCAATGAAGCACCCATAAACTCATGTACATACGGCAGTTTATTTTCAGAATAATTTCTGAAAGCAAAACAATTCTCACTGTCATAGCTACTATGACATAATGTTAAAACTACTGTCCCAGGGCGCCTGGGTGGCTCAGTCGTTAAGCGTCTGCCTTCGGCTCAGGTCATGATCCCAGGGTCCTGGGGTGGAGTCCCACATCGGGCTCCCTGCTCTGCGGGAGGCCTGCTTCTCCCTCTCCCACTCCCCCTGCTTGTGTTCCCTCTCTCGCTGTGTCTGTCAAACAAATAAAATCTTTTTTCTTTTTTTTAAAGATTTTTATTTATTTATTCATGAGAGACAGAGAGAGAGAGAGGCAGAGGGAGAAGCAGGCTCCCAAGGAGCAGAGAGCCCGATGCGGGACTCGATCCCAGGACCCTGGGATCATGACCTGAGCCGAAGGCAGACGCTCAACCATCTGAGCCACCCAGGCGCCCACAAATAAAATCTTTAAAAAAAAAAAAACAACAAAAACTACTGTCCCAAGTTCACTTATCTCAGTCTTAAAAAGGCAACTAAAAGCCAGACAGACTGAAGAGAACATTCAAAGTATCACCTGGCATATGACTTATCACAAAAGGCTTAAGGTACCCTTTCAGTGGAGATCTGACAAGCACCGCCTTCACCAAATGATATACAGCATTACCAATAAAGGCACACACTGCTGTTGAGTGTCTCCTGAGGTAGTGCACTGGGAAGTGGACATCACCTATATAGCTAGAATTCTTTGTGGTTTTTTAGATTTATTTATTTATTTATTTTATGGGGGGAGGGGCAGAGGGTGAGGGAGAAAGACCATCTCAAGCAGACTCCCCACTGAGCACAGAGCCAGCAGGGGGCTCGATCTCAGGGCCCCAAGACTGACCTGAGCCAAAAATAGTCACAGGCTTAACTGGCTGAGCCACTCAGGCACCCCCCCCCCCCCCCGGTAGGTAGTACTCTAAACCAAAATGTTTAATCTGAATGTAATCGTGAAAAAGCAATCAGATAAACTTAGATTATGGGACAGTCTAGGAAATCAGCAAGGACATCAAGCTCAAGAAACAGATGGAGTAACTGTTCTAGATTCAAGGAGACTAAAGAGACATGATAATTAAATGCAACGTGTGGGGGCGCCTGGGTGGCTCAGTCATTAAGCGTCTGCCTTCAGCTCAGGTCATGATCCTGGGGTCCTGGGATCCAGCCCCATATCAGGTTCCCTGCTCTTTGGGAAGCCTCGAGGAGCCTGCCTCTCCCTCTCCCTCTGCCTGCAGCTCCCCCTGCTTCTGCTCTCTGTCAAATACATAAATAAAATCTTAAAAAAAAAAATGCAATGTGTGACCCTTGATTAGATCTGGGGTTTTTTCTTAAAGAAAAAAAGCTATAAAAGACATTATTCAGACAATTGGAAAATTTAAATAAGGCCTGTACATTAGACAGCATTATTTTTTTGTTGTTGTTAATTTTAAGTAGGCTCCACAACCAACACGGGGCTTGAACTCAACCCTGAGACTGAGTTGCGTGCTCTACCAACTGAGCCAGCCAGGTGCCTCTAGACACCATTATTCTATTTTTAAATTTCTTGGGTGTGATAAGGGTTTTTTGGCTATGACAGAAAGTGGACTCATTTTAAAAGATACATGCTGAAGTATTAGGTGTCCGGTACCATCACTTCAATAATTTCCTTTCAAATGTCTCTGCATAAAGTAAAAATGTTATGTATATATATGTACATACATAATATACACACAATATACATATATATGCACAGAGATGCGGAAGTAAAAATATTAATAATGAGTCTAGATAAAGGATATATGTTCATTATACTAGTACTTCAATTTTTCAGTATGTTTGAAAATTTCAAAATAATGAGTTGGGGGAGAAATAAGGAAACAGACTAATCTGGCCCAGTAGTACCTCTGGGCTGCATGAACATTTCATCTTTTTTTTTTTTTCAAGATTTTATTTATTTATATGACAGAAAGAGACACAGCGAGAGAGGGAACACAAGCAGGGGGAGTGGGAGAGGGAGAAGCAGGCCTCCCAACCAGCAGGGAGCCCGATGCAGGGCTCGATCCCAGGGCCCTGGGATCATGACCTGAGCCGAAGGCAGACGCTTAACGACTGAGCTACCCAGGCGCCCCAACATTTCACCTTTTAAACAGTGTCTACAGAATGCCATATATTTCTGTTGTCACTGTCAAATGTGATCTTAGTACCTTTTGAAACAAAGTGAGTTGCCAGATTATTATTTTAGGTATAGTTCGAAAGTAACATCTGCATCTGCCCCAACATGGTTATTATCAGCTGTCCGGGGAAAATACTAGGCAGGTAATACCCAGCAAGTCTCGGGTGTCCACTGAATGGCACCTGGCAGTCGCTTCCCAGTGGATGAGAAATCACAGGTGCCTTGTTTATGACTGCAGTCAGTAATCCAATCGTCCCTCCTTTGCCGGTCTCAGGCCCAGTTCTCGAACTGTTTACCAAGTCAACATACCGGTCAGCTTTTCCGGGACAGCCCAACCTCACCCTTCAATCGCCACTGTTGTGTCTTCTTGCCTTATCAGATCCAACACTGAACTGTGCCCTCCTCTCAAAGCCTTTATTAGCTTCCCAAGTAATTTCTCCTCCTCCCAGCCTTCTGAGCACGCAGAGCTTTCTACCTTGCGTTGTAATTTTTAAAAACCCTTACACCAGGCCCAGCAGAAGCTCCAGTGGGCGTTAAGAAGAGTGAAAAGGAGGGCGCCTGGGTGGCTCAGTTGGTTAAGCGACTGCCTTCGGCTCAGGTCATGATCCTGGAGTCCCGGGATCGAGTCCCGCATCGGGCTCCCTGCTCGGCAGGGAGTCTGCTTCTCCCTCTGACCCTCCCCCCTCTCATGCTCTCTCTCTCTCTCATTCTCGCTCTCAAATAAATAAATAAAATCTTAAAAAAAAAAAAAAGAGTGAAAAGGAATCTGTTTCAAAGATCTCGAACGCATGAGTGGGGAACTCGGCAACAGGTCTCAGAAAGTGATTCCTAGAAAGAGAAGCTGGCGGACTGGGTGCATCTGGACGAGGTGAGAGCGAACGGTAGACAACCTGGGGGCGCTGAGGCAAGACCAGACCCCAGGGGAGCGCGATCGCTGCGTTCGGTCCCTCAGTCCGGCCCGGACGGTTCAGCCGCGCGGACCTCAGGGGCCAGGCGCATCGCACCCAAACGAGGAGGGGCGACCGCTTCCGGGGCTCCTTCGGGCCCCAGTCTGACCCTGGGGCGTCTGGAAACTCCAAAAGCAAAATCAGTCCGAGCGGTGGCCGAGCTCCCTCCACTGACCCGTCCACTCGCGGCCGCTCCCTTCGCCCTGGCCCCCAGGGCGGGGTCGCAGTAACTGGCCCGAGGTGCCGGCGAGGAAGCGACGGGGAAAGCGCTATATCCCCCAAGTCCCCGCCGGGGGAGCGGGAACCTCCTTCCAGGAGGAAAACAGCCCAGGGAGGACGGGACCGCCGCGCGCAGAAGCCCCCAGTCAGCCCGCCGGCCGGCCCGCCCGCCGGAGAAGCGGCGCCCCCCTGCCCGGCGGCAGCGCCAACACACGCAGTGCGCAAGCGCGGCACGGGGCGGGGCCGATACCTGGGAAGGAGCAGAGAGAAGTGGAGTTGGGGCACAGGGTCCCGTTGCCCACCCGCGGGACGAGCTTCAGGCTGAGGATCTGCTGTAGGAGCCCGGCCGACCCCCCGCTGCCGCCGCTCCCCTCGTGCTCCATCCCGCCGCCATTCACCGCTGAGAGATGGGGAGAGCGTCCGAAGTGCTGCCGCGGCTCGCTCGCACTCACGGACCGAAGCGCTCACCGAACCTCCGCCGCCTCAGCGTCACTCTCGGATGGGGCCCTCTTCCTCCCACCCCAACGGCGCGGCCAAGTGATGGGCCCTTCCTCCAATCACAGGGCGCTGCAGATGGCAGGGGCGGGGCGAGAGTTGCTCCCGCCCCTGACGTTGCGTACGGCTCTCCGAGATCTGTCACCCACTGGCTACGCCCCCTACTGGGCAAGTCTCTCCTGTCCAGGAGGACGCGCTCTGCTCTGCCCCTCTCTGCAGCGCCACCTATAAGAACGTAGGGGAATTGCATACACACCACAGACCTGACGTGTAGATTTAAAAGGGATCTAGCAATGAGAACCATGTGAAGGAGGCTGGAAGACAGTGCAGCAATACCTTCAACATTTGGAGGGAAAGTGATTTTTTTTGGAAGCTTAACTTACTTTAAATTGAACATTGTGTGCAAAATTTATCGTATTTTACGTATATTAAGAATTGCGTGCAAAATTTGTAGTATTTTATGTAATATTAATTCAAGACCATTAGCAAGATTTATAGAGTTCCCTCTTGAAGACTTTGTTTTGAGAGCTAATGCCCACATTCAACACTGCAACTGCGATTTTGCATAAACTAAGAAACGTGACTAAAATAGCAATAGTAAGCACAAAAAAAGTCATGAAATATTTAATAATACTATCTTTTGGTACATTTCCCAGACTACCAGACTATGTAAGAAGTGGGAGAAACCAATTATTTTGGGGTTGTATAACAATCAATTGTGTGTCACATTAGGAAACATTATTTTGAATTTACAATTCTATCCTCAAATTCTGCATTGAGAGGTTAAAAAAAAAGACAGGGCGCCAGGATGGCTCAGTCGGTTAAGCTTCTGCTCTCTGCTCAGGTCCTCGGGTCCTGGGATTGAGCCCCACATCGGGCTCCCTGCTCAGTGGGGAGCCTGCTTCTCCCTCTCCCTATGCCGCTCCCCCTGATTGTGCTCTCTCTCTCTCCCTCTCTGTCAAATAAATAAGTAAAATATATTTTTTTAAAAAGACATTTATATTTGCAGAACTCAGAAAATGCATGTTTTATATGCTCTTTCTAAGGAAGTTGAGTATGTCCTCCAGTAAAGTTAAGGAGTGATAACCAAGAAAGAGAAAGATATGCAATACAAGAAATGATGGATTTAACCAGGAGTGTTAGCCTGACTTCTGTGCACAGGTCCCAGCAGCTGCCTCACCAGATTAGAACAGAAAGAGTGTCCTGAGGAAAAATAGTGAAATTGATTTCAAGCTATGGACAAAATGGTTAAGCTCAAATTTTTGGGGTGCCTGGGTGGCTCAGACGGTTGAGCATCTGCCTTCGGCTCAGGTTGTGATCTCAGGGTCCTGGGATTGAGTCCCACATCTTCTCCCTCTCCCTCTGCCTGCCGCCCCCACCCCCCCGCTTATACTCTCTCTCTCTGTGTGAAATAAAAAATAAAAATCCTAAAAAAAAAGAAGCAGCTCAAATTTTTAATGATAGAGAGAAGAAGGTACCTGTTTCTTCTCTTAATGGGAAAAAACTGAAAGGCAATTGAAGTCCAGGAAAAACACAAGCCTGCAAGAAAATTATGAGGCAACTAGGTTTTTTGTTTGCTTTTTAAAACTCCACCACCTGTCTCACTTGTTTCACTTATAGTGAGATGCAGAACTATAAAACTTTTAGAAGACAATGTTGAATATCATTATAAACCTCATAATAGTGAAGGAGCTTTTCAACTAGATAGAAAAAGTGAAGATTATAAAGGCAAGGCTTGATAAATTTAACTACTTTAAGAACTTGTGTTATTCAAGTGTTATTATAAAAACAGCAAAAAGACAAGCCACAAACTGGGAAAAGATGTTTGCAATACGTGTAACCGGCAAAGGAGTAGTATCCAGAATCTATAAAACACTACTAAAACTCAATAAGAAAATGACAGAGAGACAAAAGGCCTGAATAGGTACTTCATCAAAGAGAGAATACAAATTGCCAACAAAAATAGGAAAAGATGCTTACTTAACCTCATTATTTTTTTTTTAAGAAATTTTATGCTGGGTCCATTTTTTTATTTTTATTTATTTATTTATTTAGATTTTATTTATTTGACAGAGAGAGAGAGAGATCACAAGTAGGCAGACAGGCAGGCAGAAGGAAAGGGAGAACAAGGCTCCCTGCTGAGCACAGAGCCCAGTGCAGGGCTTGACACCAGGACGTTGGGATCATGACCTGACGCTGGGATCATGACCTGAGCCGAAGGCAGATGCTTAACCAACTGAGCCACCCAGGCGCCCCAGCTTAACCTCATTATTAATCAGCTAAACACAAAATTAAATCACAATGAGATCATTTACCAACCACCCAATAGCCAAAAATTTAAAGTCTACATGCACACATCATAATCACCCAGTCCCTAGTGTACCTTAGAGTTTGCTTTTGGTGTTGTACATTCTATGGTTTTGGACAAATAGTTAATGACATATCCCCATCACTATATTATCGTAGAGAGTATTTTCACTGCCCCCAAAACCCTGTGTTCCATCTATTCATCCCTCCCCTCCCCATCCCCTGGCAACCACTAATCTTTTTATTTTTATTTTAAAGATTTTATTTGACAGCGAGAGAGGGAACACAAGCAGGGGGAGTGGGAGAGGGAGAAGCAGGCCTCCCGTGGAGCAGGGAGCCCGACGCGGGGCCCGATCCCAGGACCCTGGGATCATGACCCGAGCCGAAGGCAGACGCCCGACCGACTGAGCCACCCAGGCGCCCCACCACTAATTTTTTTACTGTCTCCTTGGTTTTGCCTTTTCCAGAATGTCATATAGTTGGAATAGTACAGGATGTAACTTCTTCACATTGGCTTTTTTTTTTCCCCACTCAGTAATAGACATTTCAGTTTCCTCCATGTCTTTTCATGGCTTGATAGCTATTTCTTTTTAGCACGGAATAATATTCCATCAGGTAAGTAAAAATGAAAGGACTGATTTGCCCTGTATAGGTGATGGTGGTGGGGTGGGGGTGGTTAGTTGGAGAGGGATGGGAAGGGCATTCTTGACCCCATCCTGGAGGGTGTAAGTTGTTACTCTGTCTTTAATTTCGCAGTTTCACATTTAAAGACATGCTCTTTGATCCAGCATTTCTACTTCTAGCAATCTTTACTAGAGTCACACAAACTTGGTCACCTCTTGAGGGCTTCTCTCATCTCATGAGCCTAAATTCCCAGGTGTGAGTTTTTAATTTTGTCAAGGGAATTTGATTCCAAGGAGACCAATCCCTCACTCTTTCTCTGGCTCCTTTTCTTCACCCCGTGCTTGATGAGCTCCTGTCCATCATTCATGTATTCAAATCAATGTTCCTCTCCAAAGAGGTCCTCCTGACTCCCCATACTAAAGTAGGTCATCCTCTCCCCATTCTGATTTCCTCTTTAGAGCATAATTGACATTTTTGTGTTTGCATGTTTATCTGTGGGACTATTTATTTTGGGTCTGCCCTCCCCACAAGAGCAAGGTCTGTGACTGCTGTGTCCCCCAGTATGTCCCCAGGGTCTGAACTGGCCTGACTCATTGAAGCACTCAATTGGATACTGCCTGTCCTTGTTCTGAAACCTGATCTGGGTTCACCCCCAGGCTTGCTTTGAAGCAGATATGCCAGGGAACTCACCCAGAGGCTTGCCCAGAGTCCATTATATGCAGGGAGCAAAGTCTGGGAGCCTGTTATCCCCTTTCTGGGAGCTTTCTGGGAGCTGGGAGGTCCAGCCAGAATGGATGAATCACACAGCAAAGACCATTAATTGTTGCCATCAATATAATCTGTGACTGGAGCAGGGGCAAATGAAACTTGTGTGATGACACTATCAGGCTAAGCCTTCCTGGACCCCACAAGGGATCAGTGTCTCCCTATTCTTGGCCTCTGGCACCATGAACCTCTTGCTTGATCCTCTTTGCCTGAACATACCACATTGTCCAGCACCATTCCTAGGCTGACTCCTCCACTTGACATTGCACTCCTTCCAGGGAGGCCAGCAGGCTACTTTTATCCCCAGGGGACAGCACAGGGAGCTGCAGGCAGAGAGAAAAGGGGTCAACAGTAGGGGCCCCAATGCCCCAGCCTACCACATACCATACCCTTCAACATTCTGGTCCTTGAGATGTTTGCAGCCAAATGCCAGGATGGCTCACTCCCTCACACCTCGACATCCCTGTCACTACCGGGGGAAGTGATCTGGCTTTCCAAGCCTGTAGTGGGATCCTTTACTTCATCCCCAGTTCAGTTAGAACTGTATGCGCTGAAGTCAGAGATGGGAGTTTGAGGTCTATCCCATATATGAAGCTATGTAACCTGAGCCTAAGTTGCAGTCCCCATTGATAAATTCAGGTTTTTGTTTTTTTGTTTTTTTTATTAAAGACTTTATTTGGGGCACCTGGGTGGTTCAGTCAGTTAAGCGGCTGCCTTCAGCTCAGGGCATGACCCCAGAATCCTGGAACCAAGCCCCGCATCGGGCTCCTTGTTCAGCGGGGAGCCTGCTTCTCCCCTGCCTGCTGCTCCCCCTGCTTGTGCTCTCTCTCTCTCTCTGTCAAATAAATAAATAATCTTAAAAAAAAAAGATTTTATTTATTTATTTGAGAGAGAGCTTGAGCAGGACCAGGGGAAGGAGCAAAGGGAGAAGGTGAGCTCCTGCTTTGCAGCAAGGATGGGGGTCCACAATCGAGGTCCCACCAATCCAAGGCCACACTTGGGCTGAGAAAAAGAAGCTAGCAACCTCCAGAATATCCCTTCTAGCAACTGATGGCCAGAGAGAGGCAGCCCACTAGTTTCCAGAGGTAATGGGCACACTCAGCTGACAACTGTCAGTCCCGGCACCAAGTCCGTGCCCCAAAGTTTGTGTGTGCTCAATTCTGTGTCCCTGTTCTTCCCAGAGGTTCTGGGAGCTCCCCACCCCCTTCTTCCTTTCTCCCTCTACCTCTGCCTTTCCCCCTCATTGCCTCCCTCCAGGCTTATCTGGGAGGTTCTCTAAGGTTCTGCACTCTGGGCCCAGATATCTCATCACCACCTGTATCCTGCAGCTGTGGCCATGGCGGCTTGCTCCTCCCTCAAGCAAACAGATGGGAAAAATCTGACCTTCCTTCATGAGGGAGACAGGTCGCCAGCCTGATCCACCCTCTCCTTGCAACTGTAGTCTCAGAGCAAAACCCCCCTCCTCCCTTCGTCCTATTGTGTGACCTTGGACAAGCCCCTTCAGTTTTGTGTTTTGCTCGTCAAACCATACAGACTGTAAAGTCTAGTATCACAAGATTATTATGCCTATTTCTGTAGGTAGGATCGTTACTGTCAAGACAAATCAAACGTTCACCCCAGTTAGCTGGGCAGGTGATGCGGGTATGTGGGCTCCCAGGAGATGGGGCAGAGAGGCTACAGGGAGACCACAAGAGAAGAGGCATCTTGTCTGATTTCTTTCTGAAAGAAACGAGTGAATATAAACGCCAACATCTTCGATAGAGTGTGGTGGTGGGACATGGGGGGTGGGGAGGTATACAGACTTCAGGGGCCAGCTCACCGCAGTGCCTCTTCTCTGCTCCCAGGCAGGGCTGGGACCCCCTTCTCAGGGGCTGGATGATGCATCCAAAAGGAAAAGAGACCGAGGAAGAAAGGACTCGAGGAGCAGCCAAGCGGTCTGAACTTACTCCCCGTGCCCAGAGGAAGTGTGGACACAGCTTTGCTTTCGATGAAGTGTGCGCCTGATGGGAACCCAGCTGCTAAGGAGGACTCAAAAGAAAATTCAGAAGCAGGAAGAAACATGGAGCTCTGGGGACTCAGTCCATTCATACTACAGAGGAGGACTCCCAAACTCCTGGCCCCTCCCAAAGCGGCCTGCGCCCCGTGTGCCCGGCTCCCTCCCCAGCGCCACAAGTGGGGGCCTCCGCTAAGGTTAGGGGTGTGCCGCAGTGGATGACGCCCAGCTGAAGCTGCTAGGGCCGCGCGGCAGCACCAGGTCCAGGGCGAGGTCGCGCTGCTCGCTCTCGGAGGCGACGGGCCGGTAGCCCAGCAGCTGCAGCGCGCCAGCACACAGCTCCTGCACGCGGCGGATCTTGGCGAAGGGCAGCGCGTGGCGCCAGGCCTGGGAGACATTGACCGCGTCCCTGGACGAGGTCTTGAAGGCCTCGCGGCGCGCGCCCGGCCCGGCCCCGTGCGTGATGTTGTGGATCCAGGCCTCGAGCTGCGGCGTGAGCCTCAGGCCGGCGAAGGCGTAGAGCGCGCGGATCTCGGGCAGCGGCGCCCGCGCCAGATCCTCGAAACGCACCAGGCGGTAGCGGCCTTGCAGGAAGGGCGGCGGCTTCTGCGTGGCGGCCTCGGCGATGCGCACGTGGCTGCGGCACACCTCGCGCACCACGCGCAGGCCGGGGTCGGCCTCCACCCACGTGCCGTTGGTGCCCAGTACGATCCCGTTGTCGCGCGCCAGCGCCTTGGCCGTCTGCTCGCGCGAGCGCAGCACGGCCCGCGGGTCGCGCACCAGGTGCACGATGCGCAGGTTGAGCGCGGGGTCGTTGAGCAGCTGGTAGAGCACCTGCAGGTTGAAGAAGCGCACCTCCTTGAGCACCACGTGGCTGTAGGCGCGGCAGGCCTCCTGCGCCAGGCTGAAGGGCTGCCGCGCGCACAGCGGCTTGCACACCGCCTCGCTGCTGATGGCGCCGCGCGGGAAGGCGCCGCAGGCGGGCGGCGAGCACAGCGCGCGGCTCACCGCGTACTGGAAGAGGTCCGACAGGTTGCGGCGCCACGGCAGGTAGGCGTCGAACACGTCCAGGTCGCACAGGAAGACGGAGCGCACCACGTCGCGCACGGCCATGTGCAGCGCCGGCGCGCTCGCCTGCGACAGGGTGGTCCACACGTGCCAGCCGGGCTCCATCAGGTAGAAGACGTCGGGGTGCTGGCTGAAGAGCTGGCCCACGAAGGACGAGCCCGAGCGCCACGAGGACAGCACCAGCACGTGCACCCGCTCTTTGCCGACCGCTGGGGACGGCGGCCTGGGCCAGGAGACTAGGAAAAGCAGGATGCCAGTCTGCGCCAGCAGGAGCACGGTCACCGCCGTGCTGGAGATGCGCGGCAGCCACATGCCTCCGGATGGGGGCCTGCGGGAGGAGGAGAGCGCAGTCGTTAGGGACCGCGGGCCCCCTCGCCCTGCCACGCCCCAACGCCCCCCCCCCCCCCCCGGTGCTTGCAGAGAGCAGTCCCCCACCCCCACCCCGGACTCGACCACCCGACCTGTGGGGGCCTCCCCGGACTATGGCCGTCTCAGTTGGGCACTCTCCCGGGAATATGACTTTAAGACATCAGCCAAGATCTAGTCTATGCAGAGCAAAAGGCCAGCTGCAGAATGCGGTGGAAATACATGTTCGTCCTTACCGCCTCCCTCTCTCTTCCCCCCCCCCCCACTTTCTCTCTCTCTTTTTTTTTCTGGAGAGGGAAATATTATTTTTAAAACAGAATTCCCACCTTTTGTTTCAGAATTCCTTTCAGGGAGACAAGTTTAGGTTGTTTAGCTCGAGTTTGGTGGGTGATTTGACTCCCTCACCAGGCTCAGCCGCTTCCTAGCCTGTGATCCTGGACCAAACGATTAATCTGTCTGTAACTCAGTTTATCCATCTGTAAAAGGGGGATTAATACTGGTACCGGAGTAATGGAATGAGCCTGGGGGGCGGGGCATGTCGTAACTCCGGTAACTGGTAACTTGCCCTTGTACTTCTGTGTTGTCTGACTTCTTTTAAACAAGCAGATTCAGCTTGCATTATTAAAAAGTAAATAAATGACATAGACAAAGCACACCAACTGTTGCTATCTACAGGGAGTAGAGTGCTACAGGATGCATGAACTGCAGAGGGAGGGTACCCTTCTGGAACTGTGGGAATGTGCAGAAGAAAGCAGTAAAGGGAGAGGTGACGGCAGTCAAGCTCCGGGCCACCATTTGCCCTTTTCCATGCCGAGGTTACTCACTGTAGCCCAGGGCTGCTGGGAGAGCTGCCCACCTCAATCACAATCCATGGAAGATGCCTGCAGGTTTTTCAGGGCCTGAGAGAGCAGGAGGGAGGCTGGGTCAGAGGCTCACAGGAGGAGATAGCCCGACACAGTGGGAGGGCTTTGCATTCCCAGACGGACAGAAAGTTCCCTGCAGGTGGGAACAGAGCCGCCCAGCCCCTGAGCACATTTTTCCAAGTGGATGTGAACTGATGGTGTACCCTGCTGGGTGGAGACTGGACTGCGGTGAGCCCTCTGATGCCACTTAGGAGCTCTGAAACCTGGGGCAAATGACTTGACTTCTCCAAGACTCAGTTTCCTCCTCTGTAAAATGAGGATGGTAACATTTAGCCTCGGGCTTGTCACGAAGAAGCTGCTACCAACACAGATGAGGGAGGGCTTGCTAGTGCCATACATCCACCCCGTGCTCCTGCTGGGGGTGCTGTGTTGGGAGAGGAGGCACCAGGGAAGGTCTCCACCTGGATGAGAAACCCTGAGGTCTCCTACATCTGCAATCCCAGCATCTCCTGAGTCCACCCCCGGGTCCTTTACTAGATCTTAAGAATATCACACCTGTCCGGCAGACTGAAAGGGATACGGAGCCAAGCTCACGCACCCTGAGGTCCCAGAGTTTTTCCCTCCTTGCACCTGTTGCTTGCTCTTGCCACGATCTCAAGGAAGAGCTGCTTTGGAAGGTAGGGGCCTGAAAGTTTCCTCCTTGCTTTCACGGCCTTTGCTCCCCTCGAAGCCCCCTCCCCTGCTCATGTCACCACCAGGAGAAGCCAGGTCGAAATCATGAGCAGATCCCACTTATCCAGAGGCTGCCAGAGTGGGTGGAGGACAGGGGAAGTGGGACCCCCAACCCAGGTCTTCCATCTCTAAGTTCCTGGCACATTCCAATTACAGTCAGCAAGTCTCTCCCATTCCTGGGAGCACTCCCATTCCTGCAGAGCACTCGACCCTGGTGTTTGGCCCAAACACAGCTGCCATGGCCAGCCCAGCCCTTTCCTGGCTCGGGAGGATCTTGACCGTAGGCCACCAATGTGTGCTACCTGCCCTCCGGGGAAACCAGAGGTTTTCTTAGGTGACTCACAAATACGGAACTGACGTCTGATCCTATTCCCGGAACTCGAGAACGAGTGCGGCTCATTCGTAAAAGAGCTGAAAGCAGGGCGCCTGGGTGGCTCAGTTGGTTAAGCGACTGCCTTCAGCTCAGGTCATGATCCTGGAGTCCCGGGATCGAGTCCCGTGAGCAGGCAGCCCGCTTCTCCCTCTGACCCTCCCCCCTCTCATGTGCTCTCTCTCTCATTCTCTCTCTCTCAAATAAATAAGTAAAATCTTAAAAAAAAAAAAAAAAGAGCTAAAGCACACAGTGCGCTAGGAGCACACTTCCTTTGTTGTATAACCCTTTGTTTTCCCTGGAGTTAAATTGCCCTAGAGATTAAAATTGTAGGGTTGAAAGATAAAACTGAAGAAGTAGAGAAGGTAGAACAAAAAGATCAGTGATGGATAAAAGATGGAAAACAGATAAAAGAAATCAAGAGGATCAATCCGGGAGGTCGAAAGTCCAACATCCAACGCTGTTATCCTAGCAGGGCTCACAATCTAGCTAGGAACCTCAAAGACCCACCCACGAAGTGGCCAAGGGAGCAGATGGTGGTCTGAGGAGTGGCCCAACTATCCAGGTGCCAGGAGGGTCATGCTAGTCCTGGCATGCATATTTCTCTCCTGGATTCTGGAAAAATCCCCCAGCCAGTCTCCCTGCATTTCATATTGCATAGAGCCACCAGAGCTGCCTACGCTGTATCTGATCCTGTCATTCTCCTACTCAGCAACCTTCCGCTTTCCAACCTCACTTCCCATAATCCGCCCCCCCCCCGCCCGGCACCCTGTGTGTCAGATCATCTGGAATCATTCATGTTCCCCTCTGCTCTGCTGTAAGTGTCCAGCCCTGACTCCCCCCGGGGAGTCATCTCAGCTTCCTCCTAAGACACCTCACCTGTGCCTCTTTCAAGGCATGTATCACTCTGCCCTGAGTGACACTTTGCCTCCCCTTCTTGCCTGTGAGCAACCTGAGGGTCAAGACTGTGGCAGTTTTGCAAATGAGTGTGTCTGTTCCCAGGCACCCAGTGTGGGGTGCAGTCCTGCAACAGGTTGCTGCACTAGACAGGGTTTGCTTGGGTCCACTCGGTTCTTGTTCCTCCTTATTCTGCTAACGGCCTCTAGATTTTTCTTTGAGGAACCACCCTCACTCACACAAAGTGCATGTGGTTTGCATGGGGCTGACCGCCCACTGTGTGGTTCTTAGGGAGTCAGCTATCTCAAGCCTGGTTCATCTCTATATTCCATACACTATCCCCCGACCAAGCGATGGGCTTAGCAATGGACATCTGCCCCAAGTCCAATCCCAGGATTTTTGTAGCTCTGCAGGGAAGAGGGAAACTGCCTGGGTGTAAAGCCAACACAGAAGACAATTATTGAACAGGGAAGGAAAGTCTGAGAACCCGTGAGCAGCTGGTAGCATCTGGATCCAGCTGGACAAGATTCACTCATGGACTGCCCAGTTGGGGAAAATGCTCCATTTTTCGTGAAGCCAGCGTGACTTCAGTTTCTGCCATTTACAACCAAGTGTTTGATTAGAGAGTGGGTCCCCTTGGGGGAATGGGGTGAGGGCAGAACTGTCAGGAGCAAAGCCGGAGCTTCTGGGGGCTGGTCATGCTGTTTCTTGATGAGGTGCTAAATACATGGGTGTGTCATCAAGCTGTATTTTTATGACTTGTGCTCTTTTCTGTATGTATGTTGTATTTCAATAAAGAGTCAAGAATCCCGGGGCGGCTGGGTGGCTCAGTCGGTTAAGCGTCTGCCTTCGGCTTGGGTCATGATCCCAGGGTCCTGGGATTGAGTCCCACATTGGGCTCCTTGCTCAGGAGGGAGCCTGCTTCTCCCTCTGCCGCTCCCCCTGCTTGTGCTCTCTCTCTCTCTCTCTGACAAATAAATAAATAAATAAAATCTTAAAAAAAAAAAAAAAGAGTCAAGAATCCTGACTGAATAAGACAGACAGTAAGTGTCATGTCCAGGAATGTCCCAAAGACTGAACGAGTAGATGATATTAATAAATATTTGCCTAATTGAAGTCAGATACTCTGTGATCTAGATCCAAAGGGAGGAATTCCCCACGTATCCCACATTTCTTCCTGCTAAGCATTTTACTTTATTTTTATTTATTTTTTTAAGTAGGCTCCACGTGGAGCCCAACACAGGGCTCAAACCCACAACCCTGAGGTCAAGACCTGAGCTGTGATCCTGAGTCTGATGCTTCACCGACTGAGCCACCCTGGCGCCCCCTGAGCATTTTAAAATGACAGTATCTTCTAAATATCCCTGACTGTTTTGTTGGCCTGAGAGACATAGGAAGGAACTATTGTTCTATCTGACTGGCAGATGGGAAATCTGAGCTTCAGGGCAGGATGGTTCACTGTAGGAGGGGGGTGAGCCTGAACCCAGGAACCCAGCTCTCTGGGAAACCCTCACCAGTACCCCAGCTCTGCATGCCCCTCACTGAGCAGCCTCTTTTAGCCCTGGCAGGGTACCTAAGGAAGTGAAATGTAATACTAGGTACAAATTCATGGCTCAGATTTCTCTCAATTTGGCATCGGCTGGAGGCCATCCTGTTCAGGAATCCCAAAGATTAGAGAAAACAAATTCCAGATGAGGGATCAGTAGACTTTTGGCATCAAGGGCCACCCCTGGGGGCAAACCAGCTCTAATGGAGCCCAGGGCATCTGTTAGGGAGAAGGTTAAAAAGGAAGGAAAGGGGCGCCTGGGTGACTCAGTCGTTAAGCGTCTGCCTTCGGCTCAGGTCATGATTCCAGGGTCCTGGGGTCGAGCCCCGCATTGGGCTCCCCACTCAGTGGGAGACCTGCTTCTCCCTTTCCCACTCCCCCTGCTTGTGTTCCCTCTCTCGCTGTGTCTCTCTGTCAAATAAATAAATAAGATCTTAAAAAATAAATAAATAAAAAATAAAAAGGAAGGAAAGAGAAGAGAGAGAGAGAGAGGAAAGGAGAGAGAGGAGGAGGAAGATGAATGTTTATGGTAGCCTGGAAACATGGAACACAGT